CCTTCCAAATCATCACGATTTTTTTCAAAATCGAGGTCGGTGCGAAAATCGAAACTTTTTCGATGATTTTCTTTTAATATCTCGGGTAAATAATGTCTGATTTTAAAATGCTATACCTTTTTGAATGCGTACGGATCCCTACCATCAATTGGCATTCAAACAAATAAATCATCGATGGGTTGAAAAATGTTGTTGACAAAAACCCGATTCGTTCGTAAATTCCATGTTTTTGATGATTTTTTGGAATATTTCCGTCAAATAATGTCCGATTTTGGAATTTTATACCATTTTTGACTCGTAAGGATCAGTTCTATCGATTGGCATCAAAAGAAGAAACCCAAAATTTTGACCCAAATCGACAGAAAGGCAAATGGTTACATCACGTTTTTTTTTCAAAATCGAGGTCGGTGCGAAAATAGAAACTTGTTCGATGATTTTTTTTTAATATCTCGGGTTATAGCTTTGCGCGGAGATATGACGTTTCAAAACGACATAACTCCGCGCGGAGATATGACGTTTCAAAACGACATAACTCCACGTGGAGATATGACGTTTCAAAACGACATGACTCCACGCGGAGATATGACCTTCCAAATCATCACGATTTTTTTCAAAATCGAGGTCGGTGCGAAAATCGAAACTTTTTCGATTATTTTTTTTTTTAAATATCGGGTAATAGCTCCGCGCGGAGATATGACGTTTCAAAACGACATAACTCCGCGCGGAGATATGACGTTTCAAAACGACATAACTCCGCGCGGAGATATGACGTTTCAAAACGACATAACTCCGCGTGGAGATATGACGTATCAAAACGACATAACTCCACGCGGAGATATGACGTTTGAAAACGACATAACTCCACGCGGAGATATGACCTTCCAAATCATCACGATTTTTTTCAAAATCGAGGTCGGTGCGAAAATCGAAGCTTTTTCGATGATTTTTTTTTTAATATATCGGGTAATAGATCCGCGCGGAGATATGACATTTCAAAACGACATAACTCCGCGTGGAGATATGACGTTTCAAAACGACATAACTCCACGCGGAGATATGACCTTCCAAATCATCACGATTTTTTCAAAATCGAGGTTGGTGCGAAAATCGAAGCTTTTTCGATTATTTTTTTTTAATATATCGGGTATAAGCTCCGCGCGGAGATATGACATTTCAAAACGACATAACTCCGCGTGGTGATATGACGTTTTTAAAACGACATAACTCCACGCGGAGATATGACCTTCCAAATCATCACGATTTTTTTCAAAATCGAGGTCGGTGCGAAAATCGAAACTTTTTCGATTATTTTTTTTAATATATCGGGTAATAGCTCCGCGCGGAGATATGACGTTTCAAAACGACATAACTCCGCGTGGAGATATGACGTTGCAAAACGACATAACTCCGCGTGGAGATATGACGTTGCAAAACGACATAACTCCACGTGGAGATATGACGTTTCAAAACGACATAACTCCACGCGGAGATATGACCTTCCAAATCATCACGATTTTTGTCAAAATCGAGGTCGGTGCGAAAATCGAAACTTTTTCGATGATTTTTTTTTAATATCTCGGGTAATAGCTCCGCGCGGAGATATGACGTTTCAAAACGGCATAACTCCGCGCGGAGATATGACGTTTCAAAACGACATAACTCCGCGTGGAGATATGACGTTTCAAAACGACATAACTCCACGCGGATATATGACCTTCCAAAGCATCACGATTTTTTTCAAAATCGAGGTCGGTGCGAAAATCGAAACTTTTTCGATTATTTTTTTTTAATATATCGGGTAATAGCTCCGCGCGGAGATATGACGTTTCAAAACGACATAACTCCGCGCGGAGATATGACGTTTCAAAACGACATAGCTCCGCGTGGAGATATGACGTTTCAAAACGACATAACTCCGCGTGGAGATATGACGTTTCAAAACGACATAACTCCACGCGGAGATATGACCTTCCAAATCATCACGATTTTTGTCAAAATCGAGGTCGGTGCGAAAATCGAAACTTTTTCGATAATTTTTTTTTAATATCTCGGGTAATAGCTCCGCGCGGAGATATGACGTTTCAAAACGACATAACTCCGCGCGGAGATATGACGTTTCAAAACGACATAACTCCGCGCGAAGATATGACGTTTCAAAACGACATAACTCCGCGCGGAGATATGACGTTTCAAAACGACATAACTCCACGTGGAGATATGACGTTTCAAAACGACATAACTCCACGCGGAGATATGACCTTCCAAATCATCACGATTTTTTTCAAAATCGAGGTCGGTGCGAAAATCGAAACTTTTTCGATGATTTTTTTTAATATCTCGGGTAATAGCTCCGCGCGGAGATATGACGTTTCAAAGCGACATAACTCCGCGCGGAGATATGACATAACTCTGCTCGGATATGATATGACCTTCCAAATCATCACGATTTTTGTCAAAATCGAGGTCGGTGCGAAAATCGAAACTTTTTCAATGATTTTTTTTTAATATCTCGGGTTATAGCTCCGCGCGGAGATATGACGTTTCAAAACGACATAACTCCGCGCGGAGATATGACGTTTCAAAACGATAAAACTCCGCGCGGAGATATGACGTTCCAAAACGACATAACTTCGCGCGGATATGATATGACCTTCCAAATCATCACGATTTTTTTCAAAATCGAGGTCGGTGCGAAAATCGAAACTTTTTCAATGATTTTTTTTTAATATCTCGGGTTATAGCTCCGCGCGGAGATATGACGTTTCAAAACGACATAACTCCGCGCGGAGATATGACGTTTCAAAACGACATAACTCCGCGTGGAGATATGACGTTTCAAAATGACATAACTCCACGCGGAGATATGACCCTCCAAATCATCACGATTTTTTTCAAAATCGAGGTCGGTGCGAAAATCGAAACTTTTTCGATGATTTTTTTTTAATATCTCGGGTAAATAATGTCTGATTTTAAAATGTTATACATTTTTGAATGCGTACGGATCCCTACCATCAACTGGGATTCAAACAAATAAATCAGCGATGGGTTGAAAAATGTTGTTGACAAAAACCCGATTCGTTCGTAAATTCCATCTTTTTGATGATTTTTTGGAATATTTCCGTCAAATAATGTCCGATTTTGGAACTTTATACCATTTTTGACTCGTAAGGATCAGTTCTATCGATTGGCATCAAAAAATGGAAATCTAAAATTTTGACCCAAATCGACAAAATGGCAAGGGGCTACATCACGTTTTTTTCAAAATCGAAGTCGGTGCGAAAATCGAAACTTTTTCGATAATTTTTTTTAATATCTCGGGTAATAGCTCCGCGCGGAGATATGACGTTTCAAAACGACATAACTCCGCGTGGAGATATGACGTTTCAAAACGATAAAACTCCGCGCGGAGATATGACGCTCCAAAACGACATAACTCCGCGCGGATATGATATGACCTTCCAAATATATCATCACGATTTTTTCAAAATCGAGGTCGGTGCGAAAATCGAAAATTTTTCAATGATTTTTTTTTAATTTCTCGGGTAATAGCTTTGCGCGGAGATATGACGTTCCAAAACGACATAACTCCGCGCGGATATGATATGACCTTCCAAATCATCACGTTTATTTTCAAAATCGAGGTCGATGCGAAAATCGAAACTTTTTCGATAATTTTTTTTTTAATATCTCGGGTAATAGCTCCGCGCGGAGATATGACGTTTCAAAACGACATACCTCCGCGCAGAGATATGACGTATCAAAACAACATAAACCCGCGCGGAGATATGACGTTTCAAAACGACAAAACTCCGCGCGGAGATATGACGTTTCAAAACGACATAACTCCGCGCGGAGATATGACGTATCAAAACAACATAACTCTGCGCGGAGATATGACGTTTCAAAACGAAATAACTCCGCGCGGAGATATGACGTTCCAAAACGACATAACTCCATGCGGATATGATATGACCTTCAAAATCATCACGAATTTTTCAAAATCGAGGTCGGTGCGAAAATCGAAACTTTTTCGATTATTTTTTTTAATATATCGGATAATAGCTCCGCGCGGAGATATGGCGTTTCAAAACGACATAACTCCGCGCGGAGATATGACGTATCAAAACAACATAACTCCGCGCGGAGATATGACGTTTCAAAACGATAAAACTCCGCGCGGAGATATGACGTTCCAAAACGACATAACTCCGCGCGGATATGATATGACCTTCCAAATATATCATCACGATTTTTTCAAAATCGAGGTCGGTGCGAAAATCGAAAATTTTTCAATGATTTTTTTTTAATTTCTCGGGTAATAGCTTTGCGCGGAGATATGACGTTCCAAAACGACATAACTCTGCACGGATATGGTATGACCTTCCAAAATGGTAAATACCGGTTACACGTATAATTAATTAACTAAATTGGTGACGCAACCTGATATTTTCTTTAATCTTCAATAACCTCGAAGTTCTAGACAGTGTTCGTAATTGCGTCCAATTGGTTCACTAGATTGGCAATCTTGGGAAATATTTTAGAATGTTAACCGAAAGGTTCTCTCTATGCGGTCTATTTGTTAACTAACTGAAATGTTTTTTCTGCATGGCTTGTGGTCGGTTAAAATCTTTAAGCTGTTATAGATTCGGATGTTATAATGGTCAAATAAATAGGTATACGACTTATACACACAATTACAGTTTATTGCATTTTTCAATATGCACATCGGAACACATTATGTTTTGTATTTTGTGATTTATGTATGTATGCTTAAAATTATGGGACAGTCATGAATTGCAATATGAACTAGCAAACGCAGCTGCAGGCAACTACTAACTTAGTTAGCACAAATAATTTTCTATATCAGTATTTATGTATTTATTTCACTTTAAACTATGCAGCTCACTCATTGTCTCTTTCACACACAAAAATGCCCAGACGATTTATAATCGGTGATATAACTCTATAAGCGACTTGCCCAGACCAGGTTAATACTCATATTTTTTTTTTTTGACAAGGAAATATGAAAATACTTCAGTTTATAGGCTACAGCACAAATGAAAAGATACTTGTTTACAAAAATATCAATACAATCTATGCACATATATATTTAGTAAAAAAAAAAAAGGAAGAAATTGTAAATTAAAAAAAAAGCATTGAAAACAAAATAAACAAAGGCATTATGATAAGAATTATTACAATTCAAGTGACATTTGCTTAAAATTTAGGGCCAAAATGACAAATTATACATGATTTGGCATTACGATTATAACATAGCAATTAAAGGTGCTGGGCGTGTGAAAAATATGCTCTTACTTTGTGCATATACGAATGTACATGTGTATGAAACAAGGAGAGGGATTTACGATTAGTCTGAACTGAATGGACTGAATGAACACATCCCCCCGCATTCGCAGCTATAAACAGACCCACTGGCTAGCAGGCAATGAGCACTAACTGTTTCTCTCTCTCTCTTTCTCTGGATAAAAGTCGAAAAAGTCTAAATTTGAACTTAAGATAAGCAAATGCAAATGCTGCCGTTGTGTCCGTTGATTATCGTTTCAGTTAGCTCTTGCTGTTATTGTTGTTTTAGTTGCTGATCTTTTGCAGTTTCTGCAATACTTTAAGACCCTGTTCCTGATACTCCTGCTTGGACATCCAAAAGCCATCGCGATCTTTCGTTACCTCAGCCAACACAGCGCCGCCAATGAAAACCATATCTTTGCGACGCGGCGGGTCCTCAATACGTATTTTAAATTTCTAAAAATGAGCAAGTGAAATCAATTATTTGGAAATGCATATACAAATATTAATGCACCTACCGCCAGTTTTGTCGTATCGTTTTTGAGTACTCGCTCCAAGTACAATTGCTTTATTTCACGCTCCAAACGACTGGGCAGTCCCGGGTACATGGTTGAGCCGCCAGAAAGTACTATGTGCTTATAGAGCTCGGGTCGTATATCAATGTCCGCAGCCTGTATCGTGTTGAACGCCAGTTCCGCAATGCCGGGACCCTCAACGTTTATTAAATGCGGTTGGAATAACGCCTCGGGCGCTTCAAAACGCTCGCCACCCACTTTAATCACACGGCCATCGGGTAACTACACAACACAGCAATTATAAAAGTAAGACCTAACATTAGCACATGCTCTATAAGTTGGTACGCTGTAAGCGGTTCGTACCGTATAAGATTCCACCAGGACTGTGGTCTCTAATGCCAAACGTTGCTCCATTTCAATATCGTAGCCAATGTAGCATAGTTTTTCTTTCATAATGCGCACCGTTTCAAAGTCAGCGGAATGATTGAAGGCATAGCCACGTAATAGAAGTAACTAGGGGATTTGAAATAAAACAGGTCAGTTAGCTCGCAAGCAATATCTTTCTGAACATGGCCTACCTTAATCAAATAGCGCGTTATATCACGGCCCGCAATATCCAGACGCCGCGTCAAATGTGGCAGAGAGAACTCCTCGTAGACAGGACAAATATGGGTCACGCCATCGCCAGAGTCGATCACAACGCCAGATATGAGACCCTGGGCGTAGAGCGTTAATACCGCCTGTATGGCAATATACGTGGAATCGAAACCGTATTTCTCAAACATCACCTGTGAACAATGTCAATGCAAATATATGAGGTAGAGATGAATTTCATGTTCACGTACCTCGATCATCTTTTCGCGGTTCTTTGTGGGGTTCATTGGGGGTTCCGTTAGCAATATCTTTGTGTTCGTCGGATCAATATCCATTTTCTTGGGGCCAAACGTATAGTCCCACACATGACACATATCCTCCCAATTTCGGACAACACCATTCTCCATGGGATAGGAGACCTCCAGTAATGAGCGCAGCTGTGAGGCTTCATCGCCAACCATAAGGTCCTGTAAATGGCCACATATATTGTTTAATATCGATGTAGCGAGTGCATTTTGTATGGCAATTGTTTAGTACTTTTGTCTGATTTAAACAGCGATTACTCGTTACAGGTTTTAGAGTTAGTTCAACTCACTAAGATGCCAACTCACTTAGGCGCTAGACAGGCACAAAAAGATTAAAAGAACACAAATACAAATGTTTAACGAATTGAATATGTAACAACGAGTAACAGAAAACGTGTGTCCAGTAACGAGCAACGAGCAACGAGTAACGAAAAACGTAACGAAGGACAAGTAACGAGCAACAATAACGATTAACGTAAGAAGCTTCAAACTAGTTTAAGCACAGTATATTTGTATATTAAAAACATTCCTGTTATCTTGTGATTGTCATTAATTCAAAATACATAACGTGCAGAACTTCAATGGCAAAAACATATACCAAGATATAACTATTTAAACATATTATCAAAACTTGTCATGCACTAAAACAAACAGACAAAAAGATCCTCTAAATAGTGTGTGTGTTTTTCATTTAGTTTTGGTACAACAATAATTTAGGCCAGCTATATATATATGTATATATATATATGTACATATGCTTATGCATATAAGTAAAAGCTAGCCATAACAAATAAATAACTCTATTAAATGCAGTTTTATGCAAAACACAAAAAAAAAATAAATAAAAGAGAACAACAATATGGTAATCGAATTTCGACTTAGTACTCAAAGAGCGCACACTGGAAGCAAACAAATACTAAAAGCGATCAAAGTGTAATAGAAATGGCCAAATTTCAATGTAAATATAATTATTTCAAATTAATAATATCAAGTGCAATAACAATATAAAAAAAAAAATAGATTACTAGAAGAACTTGCATTACTCGTTAGTTTGTTATCGTGTGCATTTCGTGTACATAATAAATTTTCGTAAATTTGAGAAATTCTACTTGCTGTTTTTTTTTTTTTTTTTATGGTTTGCTATGCATCAGAACATTGGGAGTTAAGTATTTGTTGTTTTTTTTTTATTACGGTTTTTTAAACTATAAAACTTGACTTACATCGACATGTAAATCCTGTAAAATATTTGTTTCAAAAAAATATGTAAAAAAAGAACAGAAAAAAAATGTATAAGAATATTAAAAAACAGAAAGATTTGCCTCTTTATAGATTGTATACTCCTTTTTTTTTTATAAATATCTGTTGATGTTTTGTAAATAAGCTAAACTTATATAGTTAGTTGCTGTGTCAAAACCGTTCAACAATAGATCTACTCTGAATGTATGTATAAAGCGCTCAAAGTACCTAACTATAATGCATGTACAAAAAAAAAAAAAAAAAACATAAATATATTATAGATATTTATATAGAAAAAGCCTGAAAGCAAGATATCATGCTGTTTATAAAGATGGCGCTCTAATGCAATAGGATTGTGCCAAATGTTGGGGCCCCAATTAGCCCAGTCCACTAATTTCTAGAAATTGAGAAAGATTCGAACATAGTTCCAGTACTTGGTCGCTCTTACGTAGTATCTTGTATAGCGCACATATAGTACACGATCTATATATCATATATATCAAGAACGTTTGTCGAGACGCACACGCACACACACACACAGACAAGAACTAAGCAGAGAGTGTAGTGGTACTGTTATAGTTGTCTTAAGAAGATATAACAAGATTTTAGATGCACCTCTACACAGTTCAAATCGTATACCAAGACCAAAGACACCCACTATAATGATGATGATGATGATGATGATGGTGGTGATGATGAGGATGTTGTTGTTGTTATTGTCGTTGTTGCAGCAACTCAATACAAAATGCAAGAAATGTAGAAATGTTGCAAGAACCAAAGAAAAACAGAAAGAAAAAAAAAGTAGATAGAAATAATAGGATTTGTGATAAGAAACAAAACCAAGTGACACACTAATTGTAAGTTAAGTATTTGTTTGGTATTCAACTAACATATGAATGAATATGGGAACTGGGAATGGAAACACGAAAGTGAAAGTATAAGAATAATGGACATACAGTATGATAGATATGGTGAGGCTATGCGCTAAGTTCTTGACCAATGCTAATCATATATATAGTATAGTATATGTAAATATATTTATAGAGTACTTAGTTATTACGACTAGATATAATCGACCTGTGCATATGTATATTTTTATATATTAAGTATGTATTTAGTGTGTGTGTGTGTGCGTGTGTGTGTGGGTTCGTGTGTGTCCGTATTAGTTGCGTGTAAATGTGCCAATTGGTAATACGCTTCTCATACCTTCACTTCGATGTCACCAATTTTATTGACCGCTCGTATTATCGGTCTGCCAACCATCGATGGAAAAATGTGCGCGGGAAAATTGCTGCCGGCATAGCCGCATTTTACGAACTGTAAATAAGATATGGAAAATAGATTAAATAGTGCATTAGATGCATTGATTTCTTCATAAATACTGCTACTCAAGCACCATCTGATTGACCAATTCACAGCTAAACACAGCTTGCAAGCCAGTTGCAGCTCAAAGGTTCGTTAAACAGCTGCGTCTGCGTAGTTGGGTACGTGGTATTGAATACCTTCTGTACATATGTACATATACAGTGAAGGCTGCCTACAGCGAACGAACGTAGCGTCAGTGTTGGTATCTTGTGCTTAGGGAGATGTCCGCTTGAAAGACATTTTGTTGATATATCAAAAATTCTACGAAAATACGTATTTATGATACTAAAAAGGAAATGATCGGAAAAGAAAGAATTTACAAAAAACTTGTTTGATAAGATTTCTATAATATCGTACATCACGGATATATAACAGTTGATGCAGCTATCGAAAGACTTGCAACAATCGATAGCTCATGCTCCAAACGAGGCGTAATCACAAACAAATACTTTAGACCTGATAAGAAATAAGATTGGGAATGGGTTGTTGTTGTTGTTGTTGTTGTTGCTGTTTCTGTTCTTTCTGGCGCTCTTTTTGGTATTGCTTTTGGGTTTGGTATGTTGCGTATGAGTGTACGTACGTGAGAGAGTGTATGCGTATTTTTTGATTTGCTGCGGTGAGTAATGCCGTCGCAGCTTGTACAAAACTTTTGTAACCATGACTAAAGCCCCGTTTGTATATGTGTGTATGTATGTACGTATATACATATCGCTCTGGCTATAATTGAAGCTTTGAATGCATTGCATAAATCACAGTTATTATTATATTGTATTACGCCCTGCACATACTTAAGAAGAGCCTACACCGGTTACATTAGGGTACACCTTACCCCCCTCCCTCCCACACAACCAACACAATGTCAACGCCCCGATATGCTAAGAAAATCGCTGTATAACCACAACGCGCAAGCAAGAGCTGCAAATGTGTGTCATCAACTATTGTCTCTGTGAAATTTGTAGCGCTTGGATATGAATATAAGGCATACATACCCCAGTGCCGTTATCACAAACAATAACTTTGCGGCCCTTGCTATCCATTTTATGCTCCACAAACTATCGACTCCGACTGTAACTGTCTGCCGCCTTGTGTTCTTGCTGCTGCTGCTGCTGCTGCCGCTGCTGCTTCTGCTGCTGCTGTTGTTGACGTCGTCGTGGGTGTTGATTGCCTCTTGCTGTTGCTGCTGCAGTTGTTGGTATAACGGCTTAATGTTTCGGCGCGTCGCTGTAGCAGATGATGAGTCAAATTCGTGCAGCCACAGCCGTTTTAATACTAGTGTTGAATGTCTACCGGACGAAGCTCAATGCAGTTAATCATACAATTTTCAACACACAAACGGGCACAGGCACAGACACGCATATAATGCCAGCTTCATTCATACACACACGCAGGCGAAACTCATACACAACACAAACACACACACACACATGCGCTGGCACTCATGCGGACTCTCCTCTTAATGCGACGCTCTCTCACTCTCTTGCCGTATTTTCTATGGTTTGGCGTTAAGCTATATATTTGTGCGCACTTTTTGTACAATAAATGTGTGCCACATATAAATTGTTTTCAATCAATTAATTGCGAAAGACTTGCAAACAGTTGAAATTTCGATTTCTAGGCGGCACAAAACAGAGCAGAACACACACATGCAAAGTTGCACAGTTGTATTGTGAATATCGATATTTTGCCTATCAAACATCGTTACCCTTCTTGAGGGCTGCATATCGACTATCGGTATTTGAGGTCGCTACGCACTTTAAAATTTGGCAACAAGTGAATAAAACAAAAATGTGTTATTCAAGTATACGATTAAATATGGAAAATAATATCACTTCTGATAGTGTATGTCAATTGTTATTTAGCTTTCTTGATTGACATCCACCTGTTGAACCTTAAACCTCAACTCACAAGAGTTCCTTAGGAATTAAGGAACATCAACACCGATCTAGCAGCATTGGTTCTTTGTAGTTTTCGCAATTCCAATAAGTATTGGTTATAACAAATAAATAAACAAACGGATTTAAAACAAAATTAAATCTGAACTGCAACGATTCGATGAAACGTTTCCCTGAGCTATTCGAGATAAGCAAGGATATGATAAGGATAGACAGCCATAAATAGACGAAACAGGCTGAGAGTCGCGACAATTTATTTTATTTGGTTTATATAATATGTATATTGTATGTATATATAATTTGTTATCTTTAGAATTGCTTTAAGAGGCGAAATGTCTTAGATATACATAATGCTGTCTCCATATACATTTGTATGCTTCCACGTGCAAATGCTGCACTAATATTATTTAAATTTGTTAGTTTTTGAGTAAATTTCCTTTTGATTCTGCTTAGTTCCTTGTGGTCGGTCCATGTATGCGTGTATGTGTGTGTGTATGTGTGTGTGTATGTGTGTGTGTATACCGTATTCATTTGTATGCAATTGATATTTATCAAAATCTAAATATTTATGTTAGTATCCTGTATGTCTGTGTGTGTGTGTGTGTGTGTGTGTGTGTGTGTGTGTGTGTGTTGGTTTGTATGTACTTCATGCACACACTGAATTTTAAGTCGTACTTCAAAGCGGTGGACAAATGACTTCTGTTATACAATACATAAATGGTACATAATTCGCAGTGTACTTGTAAATGGAACAGTTAGTTGAGAAGCACGCTGTTTAGTTTCATTTGTAGTTAGCATTGATTAACAGTAGACTGGCCGAAACTGTTATATACGCATGCACATATAACAGCTGGCGGCAATAAATATATAACACATGAATTCGCTCTCAACAAATTAGTATAACACATGTGTAAATCTCATAACACGTCCCTCGGCTTGGTGTTTGATTTTCTTTCCTTTTCTTTGTGTTTCTTTTTTTTCCATTTTTTGCATTTTTTTTTTTTTTAAATTATGTAAGTTTTACAATTTAATTTAACCGCTGCAGTTTCTCTTTATCCTTTTCAATATTTTTACTAACTAAATTTATGCACTAACGCATAACAGTTTTAACATTTGATTTATAAGCGGAATAAACACAAATCACGTTAACGAAATTTCTGTAAATATGCTTAAAAACTTACTATATGTACTGTCGTGCCAAAGTGTAATTAACTGCGATTTTTGTTGTTGAATAATTGTGTGAGTTTTTATAAAAGCTAGTTTTTAAACATAGTTTTCAGTTTTACGCAAATATATATCTGCATATAGATAGATGCACAAGTATTATTTCGACACGTGCATAATTCATTAATTTTAAGTTAAACACTAATTTTAATGACTTTACATATTAAGATCTGTATACGTATAATTGCATGTATGTACTTAAGTATTTCTTCTTTTTTTTCTTTTTTTTTCTGATTGGAATTAATATTTTTTTCAAGCAAAGTACAGCGTTAGGTTCAATGTTATTAAAAGGAGAAACAGCAAATGTTAACAAATTAACATTATCTACAACTCGAGAGTCGTAAACAAACAATGATTATGAAGGCATTTGTGTGTGGTGGTTATGTATATTCATACACTGTAGTTCTCATATATATATATATATATATATATATATATATATATGTATGTATATATATATATTATACTTAGTTACAATCAGGGACCGTATATCGGAGCTTTTGTCTTAAAGTTTACCACATAAATATGGAGTATGGTTCTGGTTAGACTATTCAAAAATACATCTTTACAACTCAAATAACTATAGTTTTGATTAATATTATGTACTTCAATTATACAAATTGTTGGCTGGTTGTTTTTTTCTTTCTTTTTCATTATAAAAGTCAGTAGTAAGAATTATCTATGTGATTTTTGCGTTAACCAGAAGTACAAATCATTTGTTGCACACTTTAAACAGTTAATGACCAAAGTTAATATACGTCTGTAAACATTCGATACTAACTGTACAAGAATCGAGCAACAAGATTCTCATTTCTACATTAAAAAACATCGAAAACTTGTTTCTCTTATTTGTATAATAAGAAGAGAGAGAGAGAGAGAGAGAGAGAGAGAGAGTGTGTGTGTGTGTGAGTGAGTGAGATAGTGAGAGAGACTTTTCGTCTTAGTTTTTTATATAAATCAATGATTATTTGAATTCTTAATGTTCCCGATTAAAATCGATAATTGGATTCTTTAATTCAAAACATTAGCTAACATGAGTTATATATTAAGTTGTTTTCTTGAGTTCTAGCATGGCACAAGTAAATCAATTTCAGTTCGAAAAGTCTGGGAAATAGTTGTTAGTTTTTCTTGCAAATGTGCTAGTAAAAAGCTTATTGTTTCATTTGACTTTATACAGTAGGAGTTCAATATAACTATTTGCCAAAAAACATTCATATTTATGTTATATAATTCATATATAAATAAATATACATATATTTCTTTTCGTGTAATATAATATTGATTTGCTTGATGATATTGTGCACAATTTGTGAATGCTTTCTTTGCTTTAATGCTTTTATGTTTTATATATTTGTTTTTTGTTTTTTTTTTTTTTTAACCATACATATTATTAACTCAATGGCTAGACTATGTTGTTGTTGAGGTTTTTGTTTGGAATCAAAACATTCATAATTATTATTCATAGCAATGTTGTGCGTGATTTCTTAATTTCTACCAAGTGAAACTCTTTAGACTTCTGCTTTCAAAATGTCAATAAACATATATTTCGCTATAATAATAATAATAATAAAAATAATAATAATAGAAAACAAAAGCGAAAAAATGGCGGAGGTTATTTTAAACAAATTGAAATTAAATTATACAAATGAAACATTTGAACAAATTAAGATGTATGGGAGAAAATGTTTTAGTGTTTATTGTATCTGTTGTTATTATAATTATATATATATATGTGTGTATATTTTTTATATTTTGTTTTCTTTAACAAAACGAATACGCAAAACTTGATATTCATTTGCTGCTGCAGTTATACATATGTTTAGATATTTTTTAAGTATTTATATTATTAGTTAAATATTTGATTTGCTATTTAAATGGTAAATTGTTTTTTTTTCGTTTTTTGTTTTCTGTTTTTTTTTTTTTTATCTGTGTGTGGCCATTTTATTATCAATTGAATATTTCAAATGCATTGCTTAGAAGTTCTCGGTTGTGGCTAAACTTAGCTAATTTGTTTAAATTGTTTGGATGTATTTCTTTATCCGCCTCTACACTTGCTCATTCTTGATTTAATTACTAGAATTGTACACAGTAGTTAAATAAAATCAAAATGTTTAGCTATGCAAACAATAAACACAATAAATTAGAAACATTCACACATAGAAACATATGTATGTTAAGTTATATTAGGCAACAATTTAACATTTACAAAATTATTTAATGACAGACAAACAAACAAATACATATACACATACATGTATACATATATATATATATATGTATACACCTATATATGTATGCATTTATTTATATGTACATATTACACATATATACATATGCATGTACATATATATATGTCTTTAGTAAAATGTATAAGGAACATTTGTGGACTATTGCGGCACATATTGCATATTGTTTCAAATTGTTTATGCGAATTACAATGTTTAAGCATCAATTAACATTTAGTGTTTTAGTTTTTAAGATTGCACAGTTCTGTACTGTTTATATATATATATATAAATATATATATATATATATAAATAATGTAAGTATGTTTGTATTTCATTAATGTTAATGTTCTCCGTTTTTTTCTGTTCTCTTTAATTATAATATGTACGCTTCTTTTTGGCGCTGCTAATTGTTTTAAACAAATTAGCGCTAGGTTTTTGGGTTTTTTTTCTCCACTTTTTTTTGTTTGTTAATTTCCTCAATCTTTATACATACAAGCTTAAGATTAATTTCGGGTATTTTGTTTTAATTACGGAAAAGGAATCTGTGGCTAATTGTAATATCCTGCATACCTCATCGGGTGGCATAAAATCCTTTATGCTTATGCTGCTGCTGCTGCTGCTGCTGTTCTCGAGTTCAAATTTTATAGTGTGAGATATTTAAGTTGAATTTCCACGTGCCATATTCGGGGTTCTATTCTGATCTGCTCTGTTCCAATTGTTCAATTGATCCATTGTTACTTCGCCTTTGACCTTTCTGCTTATCGTTAAAGTAAGTATGTATATGTGTATTACAATTATTACGAATGATGTTTAGCTAAAACGACAAATCTTTGCAACATTATAATGTTTATATGTAGATATTATATGTTAATATTATATGCATGCACTTGCATGTGTGTATGTTTGTGTTCTGCGCGTGTGTGTATGTGTGTGTAGGTGTGTGTGTGTGTAGGTGTGCGTGAGTGTGCCGTCTTGTACGTGCTCAGAACATGCTCTGGGCGCATAGCCAACACCCCACCATACCACGCCACACAACACCACAACAACACAACAACACAGCACGTCACACCATCGACAACAGGTATTATTATGAATACCGATCGAGATCGACGTCCACAACGTCCGTTGTCACCCCCACGCCGTTGTCAATGCCATCGACGCTGTTGTTTACCCATGCGCCGCGCCATTGTTTCCTTGACTATGATGCTGATGCGGATGCTGATTATCATCGCTGGGCGTGGGCGGCTGATCGCGACGCGGCGGCATCCGCTCGTTAACCGCATCGAGTCCCTTGGCCTCCGCGAACGAGGTAATCTTGTGATTGGGCGAGAAGCCCTGCATGGCATTTTTGAGGGACTGCTTGCCGCCGGAGAGGGCGCCGAGGGGCAGGGCGCCCGTCGGCGTCAGCCCCTTCAGCTGTAGCACTGACTCGGACTCCTCGCGCAGCACGGAGAAGACGCGCGCCATTTTGCCAATGGCGCGTATCTTGTTCCGGATGACCTCCTTGCGCAGCGCTGCCTCGTCGTCCGAGAGCGGCTCCTCGCTCTCCTCGGTCATTAGCTCATCATCGGAGCAGATGTTCAACACGTTCACCAGCATCTCGGTGACCTTCTCGCCAACAAAGGGCAGCGACCAGGTGAACACGTCCATGAAGTTGGGAAGCCAGTACGGATGGGGCGAGCAATTGAACTGCCGGATGTTCATCACGTTGTTCTCGTACTTGAGTACCGCCGCCTTGTTGTTGTACACGTCGAGATAGTTGGGCGCCGAGAAGATGGTGATCAGCGAGGGGAAACCGGTGGTCTGGCTCTTGCGGTACATGCGGTAGCCGGCGTCCTGCGCCTCGTGCGCCCGTATGATCGACAGCAGATTGTTGTTCTGCAGGAAGTCGCAGCAGGCGGCGTAGCTGTAGAAATACGAACAGCCACGCACCGAGTTGTGCGTGTAGAAGTCCGAGTTCTTCTCGTTGCCAAAGTCCTCGAGCGGATCGGACCACAGCAGATCGCACATGGGGCCAAAGGCGGGCGGCTCCTTGAATCTATCGAGCCGCCTTATGTCCTCCAGCTCGTGTATTTCGGGCGACAGGCCGCCGTGCACGCAGAGGAACTGCTGATTCATGAGCGCCGCCAACGGCAGGCAGTCGAACGCATCCATGCACGCGTCGTACACCCGCTCCGAGTATTTGATCTTGCACTCCTGCTTGAAGGTGAAGTACTCGGTCAGATGCCGACACTCGTGATTGCCGCGCAGCAGGAACAGCGTCTGCGGATACGTGATCTTCAGCGACCACAAATAGAGGACGCACTCAATGCTAAAATAGCCCCGGTCCACATAATCGCCAAGGAACAGATATTTTGTTGTTGCCGGCGAGCCTCCCACCTCGAAGAGCTTCATGAGATCATAAAACTGGCCGTGTATATCACCGCAGACAGTGACCGGCGCCTCAATATCGATCATTGTCTTTTCGTGCCGCAGCAGTGCGGCGCCCTCCTGAATTATGCGCATTGCCGGCGCCTCCTCAATGCGCCCTTCCAAAATGAAGTGTTGCTTCAGGAGCTCGTGATTTGGTTTTCCGGTGCGCGCGTCAAATACCTCGGCCAGCGTCAGTTTGTGACTGGGTGGAAATGGGACACTGTCGACGACTCGCTCTTTGGTGTTGACCGGCGCATGGCCGCCATGAGCCTTGTGCGTGGGGCTATCGTGTCCAACGCTGGCGGCATTCGAGATGCTGTTGCTGCTTGCTGTGGCATTGCCTGTGGAGGAGGCGTTGGCACTGGCATTGTTCGCGCTGCTATTGACGCCGTGCTGCGCATCTGTGGCATCCGTGGAGTTGCTAGTGGAGCCACCGCGCTGGTTGGCACTTGTTGCCACTTGGCCAGCGACGCCGCTCGATTGATTATTCGAAGACATTATTGCAGTGCGCTGTGAATTTAATTGCAGTTGCTGCTGTGGCTATGGCTCTGGCTCTGGCTGTGTCTGTTGCTCGACCTGGCGCCCACACAGAGTGAGCGTTTTTTTTTTTATTATTATTATTATTGTGTGCGCCGCCTACTGCACTTAATTGCACTAGCTGCACACACACACACACACGCACGTACACAGGGGCACGTTGGCCAACAACACACGCACTTTTCTACTTTTGCTGCTGCTACGGCTACGGCTGCTACGGCTACGGCTGCTGCTGCTGCTGTTTTTGGAGCTAGTTAGCCGCTTTATCGCGTTGCCAGGCTTTTGGTATTTTGTTAGTTATCTTGTTGTTGTCGTCAATGCTGCTTCTGTAACACAACAGCAATATATTCACAATTTTGTATTTATATTTTCGTTTCGTCTTGGCTGCTGCTGTGCCCTGCAGACGTCGTAATTTCTCTCGCTACGTTTTTTTCGCTTCTCAATGGAATTTTCAGCTCCCCCTCCCTCTCCTTTATTTTTATTGATATTCTACCAGTGTGACCGCCAGCGGCAATAGCTGTATGGCTCATTTTTGAACTGGCAAAAATACCAAAAATACCAAGTTTGACGTTAAGACACGCATGCTAACGTAAGGCCGGAGAAAGATGACGTAAGCGTGTGCATTGCGGTATCTTAATATGGAATAGACAGCAACATTTGAATACGCCTTATTTTAGATTTCCACTGTCGTGAATATTTGTAATTTGTCTCACGCCTTAAATAAAGCAACTGATACTGATACTTCAAAAAATAACAACAGCGTTCCAAGTTAAAATATTAATTAAACAGCATTTAGTTTTCATTATTGTATCCATTCACTAACGATTGAGCATTGAAATATAAATATCTTGAAAGCGCGCCCAATTTCCCACAATGAGTTTAGATGTTTTAACTGACGATTTCCGATAACATCGATATCCGATAACATATTCTTAAGGCTGATTAGCGCATATCCATTATGTCGATTAATCGTCCAATCGATATATGCGACGATGCTTTCAAATAGAATATAACGGTAACTTGCTATGGAAGCAACACTGAAAAAAAAAATCACAAAATATGTATATAGATTTGTGTGAATACTCAAAACGAACATTTAGAGGAAATAATAAACGTGCGCGCATTTTATTTTCAGGATAGGTACTTGTATATTTTTTTTAAATGGTTTTGTATTGTTTTGTTTCTTGCTTTGTTAATATTAATTTTGTTAATAACATTGATAATCATTTTTGTTTTGTTTATTTTGCATTCACTTAAGGTTAAAACTTCTTTTCTGCATTTGTTCATGCGATTTGTAAATTAATTTGTTCTTTTTTGGATTGCATACAATTTTTCACAACGGCGCATTTGCAATTTGGCAATTTGCATTCGGCATTCCGCATTTTGCCTCTATTGCCACTTTTGCCAGCCGGCTGCCCTTGAAATACATTTTTTTTTTAAATTTATAATAAATTAATGCTTTCACTGTTAAATTTGTTAATTTACTTATTTTCGGTTTTATAATAAAATTGAAAATTTTTAAGAGAATTATCTAGATGTGATGTTTTCTTTTTGTTTTTGTGTGTGTTTTTTTTTTTAATTTTTTTATAATTGTTTTAAATATTAATTTGTTTTAATGTTGTTTAATATTATTTGTTGTTTGTTTTGTTTAAATGTAAGTATATAAACTTTTTGCTTTGACTCTGACAAAGTTGCTTCAACTTATATTATATTTTTATGTATATATGTATATATATATATATGCATATAAATAAATGTTTAAATATATATAAAATATGCATTTAAATTGATTTATCCAAAAGGTAAAGTTTTAATTCTTTTCATAATATATATTTAAGTTTTTCTTGTGTAAAGTTTTAAAGCATTCGAGGGCAGGAAGTAGATGTTGAAAAATACATGTATCAAAAAATTAGATAAAATATACAAACATTACAAATATTACTTATAAAGGGGATCTATCCCTTTTTAGGTTTTGCAATGGAGACATGTTAAATAAACTAACCGAGGGTTAAACTGGAATTTAAAAATAAACAAATAGGTACAACACACACACACACTCGCACACACGCACACACACGCACACACACGCGCACACATAAAACTAATTAAAATCTTTGTTTATATTTATTTGAAGAGTAAACAAAATGAAAATTTTATTTTCAGTTTTTAACCTAGCGCAAAAACATTAACAAAATCATGTATTAAAAATTAAGTAATTTGTTTAAAACAATGTGATTGTACAATATGTATGTATGTAAGTATTTATGCTAATTTACAAACAACGGCAACAAATTGTTCAACACTTTTCAATTGTTTATTGCGAAGCAAAAATTAATTTAAATTATATATATAGATGAATATATATATATATATATATATTGCACATTTTAGTAATTCTCTCTCTTTCTCACTTTGTCTTTCTTTAACTCTCATGCTTGCTCAGAAAGGAGAAGAAGCAGTAGAAGAAAGAAATTAAAATGGAATATAAAAGTCATAAAAAGTTAGTTTATATATATAATATTATCATTTATTTCTGTTTTCTTTTAAGATTTGTAACGATTTTTTCGGTTTTAAATTTATTTAAAATTTTTTTGCTTTTTTTTTGTTTTTTTTTTTTTTTGGGTAAATTTAATATTTATTGTGGCTGTAGTAGAAAATTTACCGTTCAAAATTGATGTGTTTGCCGCGCTTATGCATAGAAGGAAGAAGAAGAGAAGAGAGCAGTGGAGTGTGAGCCTTGGAAAAAGATTAGAAATGTTCTTGTTTTTTTTTTTTTTTTTTTGTGTATATAGTATAAAAGTATTAGTTTAATATATATACATATACATAATATATATATGCATATATCGTTAGCTTCTTATTAAACGTGGTTTTTTTTTAGATGTTTTAGAAGAGCGCGCTAAATAGCAAGTGTTGGTCGGGGAGTTGAGAGGTGGGAGGGGGGGTAGCTTTCTAGGAGAAAAATATGCATGCTTGTAAACATGTTTGTTTGGCATACACACATATGTATGTATGTATGTGTTTGTGTTTGAAGGGTATTATTTAGTTAATAAAGTCAATTAAATATGCTTTTTTTTTTTTGCTTTTTCTCATATGTATTTATGTATATATACATATGTATATTTATGTATATACAGTTTAAAAACCATAATAACAGTATTTGCTCGCACTGCATTTGTAATTGTTGCTCTTTGTAATTAGTTGAAATAGATTATTTTTGGAATTGAAATGCGTAAAACTTTTATAAATAGTTTGCTTTGGTTGTATATTATTTTGTTCTTCTTGTTTTGCTTAACTTTAAACTGTATTTTTTGTTGCCTTTATTGCAATTTATTTTTGTTCCTTGACTATTTGGGAAATGTATGTGTGTGTGTGTGTGTCAAAACGCTTTAAAACTGCATATTATCATTTTATATATGTTTGTATAAACAAACATAGCATATTTATGTATGTATATGTATTTGCTCTTCTCTGTTATCATATTTCATATACCGTATGTGCGCATGGGTACAGTCTCCGTTCACTTGGCGAACGCGCTTGCGCAAACTGTTAACTGTTAACTGCGTTCAGGCGATGATGTTAATTAACAGTTTGTAACACTTGCTCTCGCTGTCTGTAAGTGTTGCCAACTCTTTCTAGCCAATGCCATGCCCATGCCATTTATGCAGGCGCCATTGAAGTGTGTTTATCTATAATTTTTTTCTGCTGTAGTTGGTATTTTGCTTGTTGTTGTTGTTGTTGTTGTTATGTTTGTTTTCCTTTAACCTGCCTATAAACTTAATTGAAATTTGTATGTTTAAGGGGTTATCGTTATCTTCTTTGTTAATTGTATTTTTACTCTGACTTTGGTTGTATTTTTGTTATTGCTCTCCCTCTCTCTCTCTCTCTCTCTCTCTGTCTCTCTTCCATTCTCTATCCTAATCGTTACGTTCTGCTGTTGCCTTAAATGTGTTGCATTTATCAATTAATATGCTCTGCGGCCGGCCATAATTTCAAATGTATGTATGTTTGTATGTATATATGTATATATATATATATAATTCTCTTATGCATTATGTATGTATATATAATTGTTTATAAAGTACTTCAAATTGCTATAAGTTTGCATTTTGTATTACATTCTTGTCAACTATCAATTGTTTCTCGTCTTTGTCAAATTGTAATTGTTTTTTCTAACTGCACATTTCATCAATTCTTTCTCCTCATTTCCTTAACTATCCGCTCAATAACAGTTTGTTTTGTATGCTTTGCTTTCGTTTTGTTGTTTGTTTTGTTTTCTTTTGTTTTGTTTTCATTTATCAATTACCTTTAAACTTAAAAATAAATGTACATAGTTACTGTTCTTGTTGTATTTTTCATAAATTTTTCATTAAATATTTTGTTGTTGTTTTTGTTTTTTGTTATAATTGTTATTAATATTAGTAATAATGCATTTGTTTAAGAGAAGTTGCACTCAATTTTATGCTTTTTGCATTTTATTTTTATAAATTCATTTCACTTAATTACTTAAATCGTATTAAACAATAAATTTATGTAATTATACAATTCGTAAAAACATAAGCATCATAAGGTAGAAATAACAATTTCAGTTGTTTACAATAAATATGGGCAAAAAAAAAAAAAAAATTATAACTAAAAAAAAAACTAGTAACAGCTAACAACAAAATCCAATTCAACTTTTGCACACTTTTTCACATATTCAGTTTACAGTTGCTCCATTCATAATTTTCATTAAAATTTTTATGTTATTATTTTTGTTTTTTTTTTTATTTATTTTTTTTTTGTAATTAACAAATAACTAAAATTCGATTAAGTATAAAATAGACTCGACTCGCGCCGGCGACGCAGACGCAAATGTGTTGCTGCTGCGAAAGGAGACGCCATGCAAACGCAGTGTACTGTTGTTTTTGCTCGTTTGTTTTTGTATTGCATACGTAAAAGGCGCAAGTGGCCCGAATTGAGATTCGGCTGCTTCTCACACGATTCAATTTGTTTGGTGACTCGGCCGCTTGATCGTGCGAGTGTACGAATAACAGAGAGATAGATAGATAGAGAGAGAGAGAGAGAGAGAGCTGTGAGTGTAGGAGAGTGAACACGCGCGCGTATAGTGAGAGCGTAAGTTAGGTTAAGCTAATCCTATGTGTCTGTATGCATGTGTCTGTGTGTGTGTGGTACCGTTAGATGTCGGCAATTTGCTTTTGCGTTGCTATTTGGCGGCTGCTGCTGCGGCTGCACATTTGACACCTGCTGCACTGCAGCTAATTCGGTTTATTTATATACACATATATATGCATGTATGCACATATATATGCATTATTTATATATTCAGCTAAGGACTAAGATAAAGATGGCACGTATATAAAGACCACATACACAATCACCAGATGAGAGAGTGTGAGGCGACAATGGCGACGACAATTTACTCATAAACTTTGAGTTTATTTATTGAGTGTGTGTGTGTGTGTGTGTGTGTGCA